GCTAGAATTTTTAATGTCTATCCAGGTTTAAACTAAATGTTTAGAATCACACACTGCTGCACTAGATAGCATTCCATCTTAAATAACTAGGTGCTGGAGAAAGAAAGAAGTTTTAAAGTGCTTATATAGGAAAGACACAAGATCCCTAGGAGATATTTAATACAAAAATCCTTAACTTCATCCCCCCTTATATATTGTTGAGTACTAAAATGAGATCAGCTACTCCAGAGTCAGAGAGAACAAAATTAATGGGGAACTGTGCTATTAAAAGCTTTAAAGTTATCTACTGAAGTTATTTAAAGAAGGGACTACTCCTTAACTATTTCTCGCATGGTGGTCAAATCTGTAGTCTCTTCTATGGTTTCCTCAGGACTCACATTTTTATGGAATTAAGTTCTGATTAATGTGAAGATCATGCCTCCATTCAAATTAGCAAGGGTTTGCTACCAACATGAAAGGAGATGAGAAGAGAGGCTAGATTTAATCTTTCCTCAATGAATTTCTACATCATGGTGTTACATGTGGGATTCAGAAAAATATTAATCACCAAGGACTGCTTCAAGAAGTTAATTACCAAGGACTGCTTAGAAGAAGTTAATCACCAACGATTGACAGCTACCAAGGACAGAGTAGAGCTAGGAAGAAGTTAATCACCAACAACCGACAGAAACCAAGGACAGAGAAGAGGCCTGTTAGATAAGAAGGAATCTCTGAATGAAATAGTGAGCTCAGAACAAAAGGGAATCTGAACATAAAACAAGAACATCCCTGGACATTGAGGAGCATCAGCTGTGTTCTTAACAAAAGAAAACAGCCAAATCAGCATGATTAGGTGGAAAAAATCAACGAGGTCAACAAGCGGACAGCTCGAATTTGAGGATAACGACCACCAAGGACCCCCGAAAGAATCCCCAGAATTAAACAGCGCATGCTCTGGTGGGAGGGGAAATATGTTAATGATCTCTGGGAAATAATTGTAATATTAATGACTTTTCTTGGAAAATTAATGAATATGTATGTTTAAGTTTCATAAATACCTTGCTGGCATGACCTATGGCATGCACAGTAGGTGGAGATATCCCCCGTGCATCCAGTGCTGCAATAAAGAATGCCTACTTTCTAAATGCCAAATTGGCGTTAGAAAGTTTTTGGACCGGTTTGCGGTAACAATGGTGCTTGGCAGTTTGAAGGGAAAAAAAAGCAGCAAGGTGATCCATATTTAGACTGTAAATCTGTACTTTCCCTCCTCTTTTAGGTGCTCTTTTGTCGGATTATACAGCACCTCTCTGACTGAGCCAGTCACTGACTGTTTAAACACTTTCCCTTGTAGGCTTGGTCCCATGATGTGTGTAACCATGGACAGTGGAATAAAACCATGCGCTCAGTGAAAGCAACCAAAGGTTAGTAGTGCAAGGAAATTATTTATTTCTAGTAATTTCAAGCAGTTCTACAGCGTCTGCCATAACTCCGTGTTCCAAATAGACTGAAATTTTGCATAAAACAGGCTGTGGAAGAAGGGAGGAACTGGCAGCTAAGAGACAAGAGAGCAATTAGACACAACTCACTGTCACTTCTGTGTATTTTTTGCAGCATTTCAATAATCTAACAAAGCCAGTAAATAACATAGCTGGATTCTCAATTGCTATGGGCTTTCTGAAGCATTTTATACTCATTTTGCCGGAAAGAATCAGATACACAAGATGAAAGACATTTGAAGGACAGGTCCATACTTTGAAGGGGAGATTTTGGTCTACAGGCATATTTTATGTTCAAATTGTGTGAGTTTAACATTGCTCAAGATGAATTTTGAAAAACTTTTTTTCCCTTTTGGAAGGAAGTGGAGTCTTTTTTGGTATTCAGAGGATTCCCTTCCCCTTCTCCCTTTTTAATGTCAATCCTTTGTACCCAAAGAGTCTTCAAGATCTAACTGTTCCTTATTTTGCCCAGGGAGTTAGGGTGACAAGGAAACATAACAAAATGCATACTCCCTAACAATCCTCTCTGATGGAACACACACACATGGTTATATATATTTTATATGTATACACACACACATATATATTCGTATATATTTTTTTTGTGTGTGTATATACACTACTGCCAATCAATGAGCTAGGGACTGAAAGTCACATCCTGGTATAATTATTAGATACTTATCCCAGTTTTAAGCAATTTTTTTTTTAGGCTTTTGCCCTATCACAGGTGTTTTTAGAATCATCATTTTAGAGATCCTACAATTTTCACTTCAATTACTAGTCCTTCTTTGTGCATTGATTGATCCCTTTGTCTAAAGTTTCCATCTTAAAGTTTAGTCACTGAGCCTTTAGCTTCACACAGTATCTCAAAGATAATTCCACAATCTACCCTATTAGAAGGAAGTAATCTGTTTGCAAGCAGGTTTTTAAGATGCCTTCTCTTGTCCACAGCCTAACTAGGTCAGAGAGATGTGCTTTTATCTATCTTTAGAGGCAGATTTGTCCAGCACGGAGCTTCCTGAAACGAAAGCGTAGTGTCTTTAGTACTGTAACCACTTTCATGCTCTCCACCCAATGTTTCCAAGAATGGTTTTATAAATAGTATCAACATGTCAGAGGTAACAGAGGGAAAATATGTCTAGTTTTCCAACCTAACCTCCGCCTGGTTGGACAGATGCATGTACACAGACATACACACACACACTATTTAAGATAAGAGACTCCCCAGACTTTCAGATAAGCGCATCCCTAGAGAGCCAAGGCAAAAGGTAGAAGCCTTATTTAAGATGAACCAAAATTCATAATCAATATTTTAGATGAACCCCAAATTCAGAAGCAGCTCCCTGTAGAATCAGTGGAATATAAAATTTTGCCAGAGGACAATTATTAATCTGCCTTGTCACACTGTACCATAGAAAAGATTGGAGCATTCTTAGGTGCCAATTACTCTGGAGACCTGAGGGGTTGTTGACATTAATTCTATATTTAATTTTCAAGTGGGGGTTTTGCCCACCTGTTTAGAAACAAACAAAAAACCCCCTAGATTATGTCTATAAAACTGAAAGTAATTCAGAGAGTGGTCAAAGGACTTTCCTCCCCCAAATCTGCCAGGTAAATATCTCTGGGATTAAAACAAAGTAAATAAATTAATCTCTGCCTTCTTATTACAATACAAAGTGAGAGAAGCCAAGAAACACGGCACAAAACCTGATGGTACACAGTGTCCTTAGATCACTTGGCCATTGTTTTCTCTCACAGCAGCATGTTGATACAAACAAGTTTAAAATTTTTTGG